ATTTCCCATGGCACTTCTGAGGAGTCCTGCTGTGTGGAATTCCCCATGTCCAACAGTTCTGTTTGGATCAGCCCTGGGAGAACAAAGTGAGGCTTCCTTCATACTTATGTGCTTTTTTATTGCAGCTCGGGCTCCTACAAGGATTCTGAAGGTCTGCGCCACCATGATGACTTCGATGTGTCCCTCCTGGTTTGTCACAGTGCTGCACCATTTGAGGAGCAGAGCGAGGCAGAGAGACGCATACTCCGGTGAGCACTGGGGGCCAGTGACAGCAAAGTTTCCTGGCTGGGGAAGAGGGCTCTGGGAGGGACTGGTTCTGTCTGGAGTAGCACAGGCAAAGTTGTCGGTGTCTGGGGAGGATCATTGTGAGAACCTGGGCAGAGAGGCATCCTTTCTGGCAGGGACAGAGGGGCCTGTGGCTCATTTGCAGTGCAGCTGAGAGGGGAGCAGCCCTTCCCCAGGTCACAAGTGTCTCATTGCTCCTAGGTTGCGTTTCTACGTCATCATGACAAGCCAGCGGGAGCTCTTTCCACGGCTCACGGCCGACATGCGCCGCTTCAAGAAGCTGCCGCGCTTGCAGCGGGAAGTGCTGGAGCCTGTGGTAGGCCGGGCAGCCTGGGAGGCAGCGGAGCCGGAGCCAAGCCTGGGCCGGCAGCCATCAGCAGAGCGGGAGCTGTGGCAGGACGTGGAGGACAGCAGCGAGTTCTATGCAGGGGGCACGCAGGTCAAACTGGGGCCAGGGCTCTTCTACACCTCTCCGCTCTTCCCCTTGCTGGCCTCTGAGGTGGCCTCAGCCCAGAAGCAGCTCAGCAGCATGGTGCAGCTGGCCAAGTGCCACTGCCGCAGGGACAACCTCTGGAAGCGCCTTTTCCTTCTGGAGCCTCTGGCTTCTGACAAGCTGAAGCTGGGCAAGCTTTCATTGGTGGAGCTGGAGGAGCTGCTCGATGCTGTGCATGGGAAATCCATTGCAGATGTCGACCCCCAGCTGGTGAGTAGCAGGGATGGGGGCACAGTGCACAGCAGCTGCTGTTCTGCTTTGGGGATAAGGTGGGGTGCCAGGTGAAGGGGCCTGCAACGCACATCTCTTCCAGCTTGGTGGGAAGGTAGAGGCAGGAACACAGCTCCTAGCTGGCAGGGGAAGGGGGAGACTGCACAGACCTGTGTATAGAGAGTGAACAGTCCTCAGTCAGCATCCTCAGTGGGCTGTGAAGGTTGCATCTGATTTGGGTTCTGAAGGCTGCCGTAGTATTATGGCTGCTGGTGCCATGGCTAGAGAGATGCTGAAGATCAGGCCTTTTCTATGCCTTCAGGAATGCTTCCTCACCATGACAGTCTCCTGGTACCAGAGCCTCATCAAGGTGCTGTTGAGCCGCTTTCCCCAGAGCTGTCGGCACTTCCACAATGCTGAAACTGGCACCCAGTATCTGGTAAGACACAGCCCACTGCCCACCTGCAGCCTCTGTGTCCCTGTCCCGAGTTCTGTACTGGCTCCTTTCTAATGTGCTCTGTGACTCTCCTGACAGGTTGTGCTCAACCAGAAGTTCACAGATTGCTTTGTTCTTGTGTTCCTTGATTCTCATTCAGGAAAAACGGTGAGTCCTTGGGAGCAGAACAGCAGCTATGTTGGCTCAGGCAGGAATCTGTCTAGAGTGATCAGCTGTGGCCAAGGGCAGGTGTGCATGAGAACACAACCAGGTCAAGAAGCTTGTAATGCTTCTCCTAAATACTGTCCCAGCATGTGAAAATCTATAGCTTAGGCCCATACTGAACTAAAGTGGTCTTTGCATTTATTTAATAGCCCTCCACAGCTTTATTTCCCCTTTGGTTAATTTCTAGTATTCTTGATTTCCCCTGATTTGCAGCTCCGTGAGGCAGTTGCAGTCTAGGTGAAGAACTTTCTTGGCTTATTTCTGAAACTCTGTTCTTTCCATATGATGTTCCTTTGTTCTTGTATTAGAAAAGAGCGAACACTTGATCCTCTTTTCCTTCACAGGATTGCTTTTGGATCATTTTCTCAGCTGTCGCTCTATCCAGACTAAGTAGTCATGTATTCAGTCCAAAGTCAGATCACAAAGTCTGGCTGGGAGGGGTCACCAGTGCTGTGGGCTGCTCCTACCTGGGCAGAAAGGAAGGGGACCTGCACTATCAGGGTCCTAGCAAACCTGCAAGGGCCTTTGCCTTCACTGAACTTGAGGGCAAAAATACTTTGCTTTCAGGTGTGCTCCCAGGCAGGGTACAGGATGGGTCACAGGGAATGCAGCTCCACGTGAGAGCAGGGGATCTACAAGAGGCTTCAGTCCACAATAAGGCTTCTGCAGAGACTGCAGAGTAACTGATGCCATATAAAATAAATCATGCTCCATCTGAAAAGCAGGTAGGGGAGACAGAAGAGGTGGTGCTTGTTGGAAGGCTGCTCAGTGCCTCCTGCCACCTGATGGTCATAGTGTCACCTTGTGGTCATTGATATGATAAACCCAGAACCTCCATCTCCTCTCCCAGTGACTCTCAGTTTTAAAAGAAATCCTTTGTTTTCATAACATTGTATTTTGTGCTTAGCATTCAATCCCATTCTTGTGGCTTCTTAAAACTCTCTCAGAGGTTTTTTTTTTTGGATTATCCCAATCCACTTTTGTATTAGTGCCTCAAATTTTATCAGCATACGCCTCATCTTTATGCCAGACTTGTTAAAGTACTAGGCAGTGTGAGTCCCAAAGCCTGTACTGAAGGAACTCTATCTGTAACCTCTCTCCGTTTCCCCTTTCAGCACTGCTATGTTCTAATCTTACAATTTTTGAGTTAATTACTATCTTTTCAGCTTACCTAAATTTCCCATGTGACACCACATCAAATCCATCCCGAATCTCAGATAAGATGTACCATGATTCTTTTGTCTAGAAATATTACCTTATCAAAGAGAATTTTAGTGTTAGCATATCACTTTGGTAACACTGAGCTGCATTTCCCTCATTGTTCTGTCTCCCCCAGTCTGCTCCAAAACCTTGCAATGCTGCTGGAGCTGGGCTCACAAATAACTTCCTTTCTCCTCCTAAAAGATGGTGGTACATTTTCTGTTTTGTAATTACACAGCTCTTCTCATGGCTTTACCCGTTTGTAAAGGACCCTGGCTACTGGATGTGCTGCATTTCAACTCTGGAGAACACCCTGTCCCTGTGTCTTGCTTCCATGACACTGATCTGAGTGCACTGAGTCACATTTTTGTTCTGCTTCAGCTCCTGCAACCTCTGCCTGCTCCCTATTCCTCTCTTTTCAGTACAGTCACTAGTCAGAGTGGAGCAGGCAGCATTTATTTTTAGGATTGCAGTTATTACATTTAATCTCCTCCCCTTCCCCATTTGTTGCACTCCTACTCTTTCCCTTAGAAAAAGAAATTTCCCTCTAATTTCCCTGGGAGCTCCTGTTATTGTGGAGGCAGTAGGATCCCCTCCTCTCCTTGGCTGCTACCAAGATTGGTGTCACTGCAGATGCATGAGAGCTGGGACAGAGTGGGCAAGTCCCTGCACTGAATTTCCAGCAGAAAAATTGGGAGGAAGCTCAAACATGCTTTGTCACAGGAAGAGGCGCTAGCTTAGTGCCTTTGGCATTCTGGGACTTCTCCCAGTATTTGCCTAACACTGCCAAAAAAGTGTCCACACACCTGGGCTAGGGACTGCACAGTGCTTGTCTGCAGCCTGTCCCCTGACCCTCTCCTCCCTCTTGGCAGAGCCTCACTGTGGTTTTCCGGGAGCCGTTCCCAGTGCAGCCCCAGAACAGCGAGAGTCCTCTGCCACAGCTTGTGTCCACGTACCATCACCTGGAGTCAGTTATCAACACCGCCTGCTTCAACCTGTGGACGGGCCTGCTCTAGCACCAGCAGCAGGTCCTGGAGCAACGCCTACTCCGACCTCAGCACGGCCGTGCCATTGGTGACCGTGGGGCAGAACGGGTCTCTGGGGGACCTGTGCGTGGGCACTGCAGGCAGTGCTGCCAGTGGCACACATGGCTACTGGCCTGAGGAGCCTGGGGATGTGCGGCTCATCGCTGCCTGGGTGGTATGGCCCTGGTGTGCTGTTTTCAGTGGGTTTGATACTGAATGGCCTTGAACCAAACAGCAAGGGCAGGAACTTGGCTGCAGCAGAACGACTCTCAGGGACGTGGGTTCGGCATCCACAGGTGAGTTCTGCCTGCTGGAAGGCACTAAGGAGCGTGCACGACACCATCTTCTGCCCAGGGCAGCACGGCTTCAGGAGGAAAGACTGCTGAGTGCAGGACTGCCTGACTGGCAGTGAGGACAACTGCTTCTGGCCTTTTGCTTTCCTTGGGAGAGCATGAATGGGACAGGAAGGGTAAACTGGATCACAGGAAGGTTTTATGGAGATGTACATTTGAGCCATTGGTCTGTCTGTGAAATAAACTGAACCAGATCCCTGCTCAGTCACTGTAGGCTGTGGAAAACTGCCTGTGGAGGATGCAGAGCAGCCCTGGCTACTGGGCTGGCTGGGTTTGCTTTGGAATCTTACTCTTGCTCCAGAGCAGGAGCAGCAAGACAGTCAAGGCTTGGATATCCATGTGCAGGCAGCCTGTTACCTTGGATCAGACAGCCTGGGAGGGGACTGCTTGCTTCACCTGCAGCCCTGCTACCAGTGCTGGACACTGGCAACAGCCTTGAGAACTTCAGTACCTGGAAGTCCAAAGTGTTCTTTCCGCAACTTCAGGCACCAGCTGGAATGCTCCCCTTATTGGGGAGACTGGAAACCTCTTCTTGGACACTCCTGCAGCCTGGAAGTGAAAGTTTTCTCTGTACCTGAAGTGGTACAGTGGTGCCTGAGCCATCACTAAATTGAACACACTACAAGTGGTACTTCTGTAGATGAGGGCTCAACAGCTTGGGCTGGCCCAGTAAAGCCTGGGAAAGGGAAATGACAAAGATGCTCCTAATCTCATTCTAGGTAATCATCCCACCCACCACACTCCCCTAGTCCTAGAGAAGACACATGCTCCTCTGTTAAGACATTGTTTTGTCTTTTATTCTCATGGTTTTCTAGTTTTACTTGGCTGCCTTGCTGGTCCCACCATGCTGCAGCCCTCGGCTTTCCCAGTAGGATCGCAGCCAGCCCAGACCTTCCAGGGTGTCTCCTGCAGTAACAGACAAGGTCTCCTGCTGCAGCTGGAGCAACTTCTGTTCAGGACAGAGCCCTCATCCCCAGGTAGGGATGACACCCTGTGCCTCCCAGGACCCACCTGTCTTTGCACAGTATGTAGCCAGCTGGTCTGTGCTTGGACTGCCCGTGGGGCTCAGACCTGCAGGCCTACTCACCCTTCGGAGCATACTCGCACCCCACATAGCCAGTGTAGCCAAGGGACTCCAGGAGCTCAAAGATGTAGGGGAAGTTCAACTCCCCAGGGCTATCGGGCTCGTGCCGCCCTGGGACCTGTGCAATCTGGATATGACCTAGCAGGGAAAGGGGAGAGGCCATGCCTAAGGCAGCCCTGCTTGCAGCCTTCTTTGGCCATGAGACAAGGTGACCCAAGATCAGCCCCACACCCTCAGCCAGCTACAGCAGAGCCTGGAGTAGGAGGGCCGCCTCTCAAAACCACTCCCCAGTGGTCTGGGCACAGGGTATTACCGATGAGTGGGAAGTACGTCTCCAGGTTGTGTGACAAATTGCCATCCATGATCTGGCAGTGAAAAAGGTCCTGGGGGCGAGAGAGGAAAATGGAGGGTGCAGCTGATCAACTGTGAGCGGTTAAGGACAGCTGTGCTTTAATCCCTGTCCAGTATCCCCAAGGGGATCTAACAAGCCCATGGCCACCAGAATTCCTTTGTGGACCTGTGCAAGTTTCTCTCATGGAGAGCTTCAATGCTGACTCACCAGCTGCAGCTTCAGGTTGGGCCGTCCCACTTTCTCCAGAATGGCAGCAGCTAAGGGGGCAAAAAATGAGAAACCATGGCCCCCAGGGTGGAAGCTTTGCAGAGAAACCCCAGGACCACCTTTATCAACTGTGGAGATCCTTCTCCTCTGAAGGAGACTTTTGTTGTCTGGTTTACCTTGGTGTGGGGTGTTCAGATAGTAGCGAGGGTCAGTGATACGGTTGTTAATAGGCTCCAGCAGTCCAATCATGTCTTCCTGTAAACAGTAATGTCACCCTGAGGAGCATCCTGTTATTTCTGCAGCAGGAAGCATAACTTCCCTATGCCAGGATGGTGGGCTATTCCCCATCTTGGGTATCCTAAGAACTGCACGCACAAAGCAGGACCCATTCCCCACTTACCTGGGACAGGAGGTCAGCAGTGTATCTGAGATTCTCAATGAAGGTGGTTTCCATCTCACCTGCAACTACAGCCCGGTCTGTGCCCAAGGGAACCCGCCCAGCCATCACATGAATCCTACAGGCACAGAAAGATAATCACAGGCAGCAACTGTGAGCAGCTGGCCTGATCTAATACACCTTCCTTTACTGATGGAAAAGGGGGCCAGGCTGGGGGAGCAGACACAGAAAGGGGTAAGAAGATCCATCTCTCCTCCAGGAGGCACAACAGCAGCCAGCTGCCAGCCAGGAAACAAATATGCTCCATTCCACCTCAATCCACAGAGGGATGACTTTGAACCTTTTGCCTGACAAACTACAGACCTTACTTCTTCTCTCTTTTGTTAACTGCTTTCAGCTCTTTCACCCTGACTCTGAAGCTTTTTGGGCTCTTGCTTCTTGAGGAGCCCCAAACCAGCATGTTGGGCAACTGGCATGCTACTTCTGCCAGGGGCCTGCCCTATGCGTGGTGTCACTGCTTGCTGGCTGTGAGCAGGGAGGGGACAGTGCTGCCTGCTGGACTGCCCTGCCATGAAGAGCTCAAGCACCAGGCCATCTTCAGCCACTACTGGGGGAAGGAACACAGTAGAAACAAAAACCTTTTCAGTGTGCCTGTACCAGTGTGCAAATAGTGCTGGGCAGCCTCTGGGCTGCATAGCCCATGCCCTCCACAGGGCTTTGGACTGAGTTGCAACCGAAAAGAATGGTCCAAAGTAAGGGGAATAAAAGGGCCCTGTTGGTTTGCTGAAGGGAGCTATGCCAGGCTAATTGCATCTTTTATGGTGTCTCTGCTAGTGCTGGAGTCAGCGTGGCCTCAATAAAGCAACTGTTGTGGTGTCCTGGTGGAAAAGACTGGTACAGTTGAGGAGGAAAAAGGGAGGATTATCCTGAGGACGGTTGTGTGGAGGTGGGAGCCTACTCAAGAGCCTCTACTGCGAAGGGCAGGGTCAGGCTCGTGCCTGGCAGCTCTGGGCCCGCTCCCGGCGAGCACGCCGAGGCCGCGGCCCCGCACAGCGGGGTCTGCCCGAGCTGGCTCCTTCCCCACGCAGCCGAGCAGGAGATGCTGCCCGGGAGAGGCTCGGTGACCCGGCGGCGGCAGGCACCGCGGGGCAAAGGGCAGGAGCGCTGGAGCAGGACCGCAGCCGGGGCCGGGGTCCCGCCTCGCACCTACCTGGGGCAGCCCACAGCCCTGGCGTAGCGCACGGCCGCCTCCAGGCCCTGTCGGAAGGCAGCCTGCCGCCCCGGCACGGCCGCCAGCCCCAGCTCGCCCGCCTCCGGGTCCCCTGGGAGAGAGCGGCAGGGTCGGCGGAGGGTCCTCGCTCCCCTCGCACGGGGGGAGCGGCGGGCCGCGGCCGTACCGGGGGGGGCGTTGAGGAGCGCGATCTGCACCCGCGCCCGCTCCGCCGCGGCCCGCAGCTCCCGGGCCGGGCAGCCCGCCGGCCAAGCCGCCTCCACCGCTCCGAACCCGGCGGCCGCCGCCGCTTCCAGCCGCGCCGGCAGCGCCGGCAGCTCGGGGAAGAGCCATGAGAGGTTGGCGGAGAAGCGCAGCGCCATGGCGGCGGGGCGGGGCGGGGCGGGCCTGGGCGGCGCTCCCGGGCCGCTCCGGGCCCCGCGTCCCGCCCGGACAGCCCCGGCCCGGCCCGGGAGCGCAGCGAGCGCCCTCGGCGGCGGCAGTGCTGGGCCGAGGGCTCCGGGACGTGCCCGCGGCCGTGGGCGAGCGGCCCCACGCCGCGCCCCCGCGGGCAGAGACGGCTTCGTGCCGCCTGTGACACGCGTGGGGTTCCCGGCTGCGCCTGAGGGTCTGCGGGACAGAGCCGTGCTGGGGCCGCATGGAGCTGCTGCTGGAATTCCACGCGGCTGGAATTCACTCTGGGAAAGGGGGGTTTGCCAGGTGTTGGCCTGACACACGCGAAGCGCCCTCTTAATTGGTTTCCTGGGGAGCTTGTCTCTGACAGAGTCTCATTATGCGAGAAAGGCTCTCTCCTTTTGTCCCATGCTCTGCATATTTTACCATAAAATGTTCCTCTCCGCTTCTGCAGAGCTGTGGCTCGGGCGTGCAGCAGCGTGACCCCGGCGGTGCCCGCAGGAGCCCCGCGCCCCCAGTGCCCATTCCCCTGCTCCGTGTGTCCCCCCGCGCTCCCGCAGGCTGCGCGGGCGGGGTGCGTGTCCTGCCCTGCCCGTGCCCGGGGCTCTGCCGTGCCTGACAGAACGGGTACCGTGAGCCGTGGACATTTTGCAGCCCCTTGTGTTTCAGCTTGTTCCTGGGGGCTCCTACCCCGTGCTGGGGGAGCCCCGCACGGTCCGAGCCCTCTGTCACTGCTGCAGTAGCCCTCTGCAGCCCCAGGCAACGGCAAGCCCCAGGAATTCGCTGTGCTGTGGGAGCACAGCCTGGGCAGAGGCCAGGCCACAGCAACAGGTTTTTGGTGGGGGGTCAGTGTGGGGTAGTGCTGGCGAAGGGGATAACAGTGGTGAAGTTACCCACTAAGGAGTCTCAACTCAATTAAAGCTATTGATTAATCAATTAGAAGAGGCTTGACTCAACTTCTCAGTAACAGTCCAAACTGTCAATTGCAGGGAGTGGCAACCATGTCCTCGGGTTGCAAAGAGGCCAAGAGACGAAAAGCCTGTCCACAGGATCCAGCACCAACCTCCTCCAGACCCGCCTCCCCAGTGTAACCCCACGGCAGCTGTGCCCTGAGCCCCATCACCCCTGCTGGGTGTCCCTCCCTGCTCCCCGGTATTGGGGCAGGCTTTGCAGAGTGATGTGATGTGGCTGGCTGTATGTATATGCCCAGCTCTCCTCCTTATCCAGCACACATGTCCCCAGGACACAGACTGCTCCCTGCCGGCAGCTACCATGCCAGGGGAGTGCTGCACCTTATACATATCCTGTGGCCTCATTCTGTGGTGCACAGGGGTTGTCATCCTCTTCAGTCTTTTCCAGGAGGCACCTGAGTGCAGGTGGGTGGATTGCAGAGCTGCACAGTCATTGGAATCCCTAGAAAGAAAGCTGGTACCTGCCTGGCCTGGGGCTGCAGCCTCGCTGGGTCCTTGCACCTCAGAAAGGCATTCACTGAGGCCATGCATCGCCCCAGCAGCCCTGGTTACATCTCCAGCTGGAGCCCAGGCCCCTGACAGGGTCAAAGCCCAGGAGTCAGTGTGTGGGAGCAGGAAAGCTTTGCTGGGTGGGGGTGTCAGTGAATAAACACAGAACTGAGCCCCAGCATGTGAGTGACCTGAGCAACCAGATGGGAATGCACAGAGCCTTCATGTAAACCTGCCCTGCGATGGCAGGTGAAGCTGAGGGCTCTGCGCTGAAGCATTAATAGCATCTTTATGTCCCTGGTAATATATTGCATTGATTTTCTCATGTTATAACTGCAGTTCCTGCATTGCAGGCCGGTGTTTTGTCACTTTACCTTGACAGGACGCTGAGGATTTACTCCCTGCCGTGGCACACACAGCTCTGGAGCCATGTCTCACACTGCTGCTGGGGCCTGTGCTCAGCAGCCTCTGTTGAGGGGCTGGCACAATGAGCATGGGGTCAGATGGACCCCGTATCTCCAAGGAAGATGAGGAGGGGCCCAAGGAGGGTGCTGGAGAGGGAGAGCAGCTCTGTACCAAGCATCTCTGCTGCTGCCCAGGAGTTTTATTAGCCTGAAGAAAATGTAGCTTCTCCACATTTTATTGTCGAGCTGACATTTCGTTGCAGACCCAGCTCTGGCCTCTGTGATGGCTGGGATGGGGAGATGGCAGTGCCTCGGGGTGCCCTGCAGTGCCAACAGCAGAAGCCAAGCCAGCCCCCCACCCTGAGCCCACTGAAGTGGGGACACCAGTCCTCCCAGTACCCCATAATTCTCTCATCTCATTTTACTACAGGGCAGGTTTTATCTTTCTCCTTTATGAAAGATATTTTAATTTAAATTGACATTTCTGTATTGTAACTGTCTGTCCCAGGTGGCCCAGCTGGCCCCCTGAGGGCCGTGAGGGATGAAGTGCTGTGGGCTGGGGTGTCTGGATGGCGCCATCCCACTGACACTTCTTACCCCATCCCTCTTGGGCACCCCCAGACCTGTCCCATTTCCCCCTGCACCCTGTGGCTGTGCAAGGGAATCCAGGGCTCAGACTGAAAGAGGGCATCCCAAGCATCTATTCCCCACAAGCTTTCTTCTCTCCTCCAAAGCACCCCAATATTTTGCAGCCATATTTGGATTTTGGCTTTTATAGGGAGTAAATTCTAACCTCTTTATGTGTAAAAAAGGTCTGGGAAAAATAATCCACATGTGACCCAGCATCTTGTGGAGGCAGCTGCGGGAGTTTTGCTTGTATTAAATCTCATGATTTTTCACCAAAGATGGTCTTCCTTAAACCTGTGCCCTCGGGATGCAAAGGGGCCAAGAGATAAAAAGCCTCTCCACAGGACCAGCACCAGCCCAGCCCCACCTCCCCACCTGTACACTGAGACCAGTGTAACCCCATGGCAGCTGTGCCCTGAGCCCCATCACCCCTGCTGGGTTCCCTCCCAGCTCCCCGGTGTTGGGGCAGGCTTTGCAGAGTGATGAGACGTGGCTGGCTGCATGTATCTGCCCAGCTCCCTGCTTTACCCAGAATCCCACCTGAATTTCTTGGACCTCCTTGTTTTCACAGCCGTGGGCACCAGTGGTGGTTTGACTCAAGGACCTGGCACTGAAGAGAGGTGGCAGCCCTGGTGCCTGCTGAGGACTCCTTCTGGGATTCTGACTTGACTCTGTCAAGTCCTCCTCTGCTTAACCTGGTCAGTGCATACTGTACAGAGTTAATTTGTTAATTACTGTCTTTCTGCTGCTGAGCCACCTGTTTTCTGCTGTTGAAGTCTGCTGTGCCCTTCAGCCACCTTTCTTGCTCAGTTTCCACCTCCTAAAATGAAGAAGCTACCTTCTGCTGCTAATGATGGGGGAGCAGGACTGTGCCACAGATGGAACTTGCTCTGGTCCTATGGGGTCCTCCCTCCGGGACCCCCTCTCTCCTCCTCCTCTTCCTCTTCATCTTTGCCTTCTTATTCTATTTCTTCGCCCTCCTCTGCTCCTTCCCCTCCATTCCTCCAGCCCCTTTATATCTCCTCCCTTCCCCTGTTCCCCTATCCCCTCTGCCCTTCTGTCCCCCCCATTTTTCTGGTTGCAGGCACTGCACAGCACATGAGAAATGCAGGGAAAGATGGCAGTGCCTCCCAAAGCTGTGACAGAGGTTCCTGAAGGGTGCCTTAATGAGCACATTTTCCAGCTCAAGCCTCACTTTCTTGCAACCTCCAAAAATACATGAATATACAGAAAATCTATATACCAAGTTATGGGAAAGAAAAGCCCAACCTTTGCCAACTTACGGCTATTCTTCATCAAGAAGGATTGTACTGGGTGCAAACATGATATAAATCCCAGCAGAGCCAAGTTAAGGACTGAGCACCCCTGCCTCCCTGCAGCTCCCAGCATGGGTGGGCTCTCCATCAGCTGGCCAGGATTTTCTTGCTATTCCAAGATTTCGTAGGAAATTAATGAGGAAGCCAAATTCTCCTCCAGCTCTTGGAGGAGGCCGGGGCGGGCGGTGCCTGGGCCCACTGAGCTGGCAGATGTTGTTTAACATTCCCGGCAGTAATTAATAGGCGGTTTCATCACTCTTGTACAATTCAAGCATGTCGTCCTGCTTCTCTCCAAATACAGAGCAGAAATATTTGTTAAACGTGGCTGGTATTTTCGCCTCATCATTAGTGCTCGAGCGGCTCCAGCCGCTCCAGGATTTATTGCCGTGCCAAAATTTCTTTTGGCCTCATGATGCTGCCACTATCCCTCCCTCTACTGCTGGCCCCTCCTGTCAAGAGGCTTCCTTTATCACTTTCCATTTGATTGATGTCCTGCTGGTTGCACCCTCTCCTTTACATCATGATTATGGATTCCTCCCCTTTCTATTCATTACATAGCAGGAGGATGGGCTTTGGCCAAACCATCTCCCTGACCAGGGCACCCTGTGGAATTCAACCCAGAAAGAGTCTGCAGGGATCACTCCCACTACCCAGCACCCATGCTGGGATGAAGGGGAAGGGGTCCCCTGGGGATGCTTCACCACCCACAGCGTCCAGGTGGGCTGGTGAGGCCATCCCAAGCAATGACGTATGTGGGGACACAGTCTGGGTTGGGCTGGGCACAGCATGGTGACATCCAGCAGTGGCCTGGGAGCAGGACAGAGCTGCCTTGAGGGAAGTGGCAGCCCATTAGCCAGCATCGCTGGCACCCCAAGGAATCACTGAAGATACAAATTAATCGGAACCTCCCAGCTCATCATTAGTTATTAATAGTATGTATTAGTTATTAGCTATCAGTTATTAATAGGAGCCTGCCAGCTTGCCAGCAGTTCACTCACAAACAAAAGCAAGCGGGTTTCCCCCAGGAGTGCCCTGCTCATGGCACAATGTCAGTCCCCATGCCCAGAGTGGGGTCATAGTGGGGACACAGGGCACAGGCACTCCGCAGGGCCCTAGTGGCCAACCTGATAGGGGAAAGCAGGGCCCAGGGAGGGAAGAGGGT